GCGCAGCAGGCTCTGCCGGCCGCTCCACGCCTCGCACCCGGAGCGAAGAAGCGGGCGAGAATAAATAAAAAAACGCAGGAGAAGAGGCGCTCTGCAGCTGTTTGTACATAACTACCACGGTTTTGCCTTTTTGTAATGCATCTGGCATATCGTTATGTGCATGGTGGTGTCCAGTGCTTTAGGTCTTACATAAACTTGGCAGCTGCACCTCATTCCTGGCTTTTGTAAGCAACCTTATTTTATTCATGAGCGCATGCAAGAAAGAGGGGCATTAGTCACACTGTGGCTACCTTGAGGGGCTTCGAGTAAGGCCAAGGTCGGACATGGTAGGAGCTACAGCCGCAGCGTAGCCTTGCGGCTCCCAGGTGTTCAGAAGCCAAATGGATATCGGGCAGCAATTCCGCTGGACCTCCTCTGCCCCTGCTGTCTTATTCTGTAGATGCATGCAAAAGAAAACATGCAGGATTAAATGAGAGCTAGGTTTCACTGGAAACTCATGAAACTGCCAAGAACTGGGGCTGGTGCTGGCTTTCACTGTTATTAGGACCACATTAACTATAAACTAAGGAAAATATCGCAGGTGTGCCACCACTCGTCACCAAGTCCCTTTTGCAACAGGAATTTGTGATCTTCTCTTCCCCTAGTAGAAACTTTCTTAGCTTGTATTTCAACAAGACAAGCTTTCTGGCCACAGCGCTTGCGTTCTTCTCAGGACAGAGTTGTTTGCTTACACTTCTAGAGAAACGCAGGGGACATATTAATGCACCAATAACTTGCTGAACTCCCAGTTTTGTGGAAGTTGCTGAGTTAGAGAATTCCTCTTTACCCCCTCCCACTCCTCTCCTAAAAGGCAAGGAGAAAAAGAATATTTTTTTTAAAAAAAAAGGATATCAGAACTAGTACTGTGTTTAGGCTTTGCTGTGCTTAGTGTTTTATATTCATGAATGTTATGATTTGTTATTCCGCGCACTTGCAGGAGGTAGGGATGAACTGTTAGAATAACGCGTGAAGTGCGGAGAACACGGAAACCACCATCCCCACTCATCACCGGCTCGGGGGCAGCCCCAAGTCAGAAGGCTTTTTGCCTTTTCAGACCTCCAGCCCATCAAGTCAAGGAACATTTTGCCACAAAGGTAATACAGAAGTGTTAGTAGGTTGATACTTCAGGGAGGAAAGCACACGTTTGACATTTAGCAATACATCTGCCAGCATTAGGCAATCGTTTACATTCCTTTTCCTGCTCAATCCAGTTTTGCAAAGGACAGGTGTTTCTGTGCACCATTAAAGAAACATGTTCTCTACTTAACTTGAATTGAAGTAGATCTGCTTGCCTCCGTTGCCCTGTCTTGATTCAGCATATTCAATCACAGTGTTCCTTTCTACTCCACTGCGTTATTAAAACTTAACTATTTTGCAACAGTCCCCTTGTAGTTCAAGGGCACACATGAGAACACACAGTATTTTAGAGCACAGATACATTTTTAATGACTTATCATATAACATATCAGCTTGACAACCAAGGGAGGAGAAAGATGCAGTTCTGTCCCAGCAAAAGGCAACAGTCATGATAACACTTGTGATCACCCCTTTTTTTGGAAGAGACAGAGGCCAGGAATTCTCACAGATGTCTGAATCAGGTTAGTTCTGATCATTTCTTACCATTACTGCTTCAAGCAGTGGCATAACCAGCCAAGGAATCAATACTGAGCTGGAAAGAAAGTGATAGAAATCCAACAGTATCTTCATCCCATCAGCAGGAGCGCAACAGCATGAAGTAGAATTCAGCTCGGTAGGAACAATAGAAGAGACCAACCTTCTCTTAGAAAAACAGTTATGAAATGGTGGAATGGGTGTGAAAAATCAGTTTAACACTGAAAAGGGAAGTGAATAACCCCTGCTAGCCTCTCAAGGCAGCGTTTCACACTGCATCTCGTCTGCTGCAGCAAATGGCCATAGGATGGCAGCAAAGGGGAGAGAGGGATGTGACTGGATAAGCTGCACTAAGGCTTTTTTTTTAAGCTTTGGAGAAACAAGATTTTCAGGAGAATCTGCTGACAGAACCATTATCTCACCTGATGACTTCTGGGAAGGAACAACGAAAACAATACAAGTGGATTTTATCAGATGGCTGGAAACATGACTTCTTGTTTGTCTCACATGAAGGTTTAATTATAAGCCCCAGAGAACATCCTGCAATAGCATTCTTCAGATAAACTTTGCACCAGGGTACTCCAGTGTTCCATTTTTTTAAGCCTCTGTAGATTGTTTTTATCTCAGGCAATAGAAAGTGCCAGTTCAAACAAGTGTACACAAAGTCAAAAATCACAGAATTTGCACAGAGATCACTAAGGTAAAAATAAGAGAAGTTATCCTTCTTATACGTGCATTTACATATGTATATAAAGATTTTTTTAGTGCTTCGACCTTACACATACTGATGTTCATGAAGAACACAAATTTAATCAGTATCATCCAGCTTCTCTAAAATTTACTCTCTGCTGCATAGCTTTGCTTAGTCTTTAGAAGTTAGAAACTGTTTAAACAGCAACTTTATAGAGCTATAGGAAATCGAAGGGAGAACCAACACTTGTCTTCTCGTACAGTTCTGATGAGACAGAAATTTAAGAACAGCAAGTAAATGCTGCAAATCAAAGCATCCCAGCAGTTTAACTGAATGCCTATGACACAGCTGTCCTCACTGGAGGGCTTGCACAATGTTCTGACATCCTAGTGTAATTACTTAATATGCAAGGAGATTTTATTAATCTGGAATCCTGCAACAGCTCCACCCTTTGCCTCCTGCACAACCAGGAGTGAAGTACGTTAGAATCACCAGGACATGAATGAATTCCAGCAAACAAATCTTGAGTGCTCCCCGTGAGAAAGTGAGCTAGCAGAGTTTGTAAGACTTAAGACTCTTCTCTGAGGAAACTGCTGGAGAGCAATGAGGACAGCATTACAGACAATAACCATGTCACCCCAGGAAAATGCTGCAATCCTCTCATATTAAGGGACTTTGACAGAAAAACAACTCCATTGGAGTTCTGAGTGCCTTAAGCTCACCTAGGAGAAACATATGCACTATAGTGATCTTAATACAAATCCTTGAGACAAATGAGAAGATAAGCAATTTTAGTCAGGATGTAAAGTATCCTTTCTCCCCAGTATAATGAAATAAGAACTGAAAGGCATCAACAACTAGCTATGTGAAATATCAATACTTTCAGCTAGCAATCCATATAAACTGAATAAGTAATTCATAATTACACATGTAGTGTACACCATGCATGTCAAAGTGCTCCAGAGACAGAAGTGCAACAGGCAATGCTTCAAACTCTGAAAGCAAAAGTCCTCTGTCACTGTCAATCTGGAAAGTCTCTGGGCTGCAGAGATACAATTGAACCTTCGTGCACAACTGCAAAGCTGTACTAGATATTTTTCCTACACGAAAGTTTCTATAGCCTAAATGCACTCCATGCATTCTCAAATGCTAGCTATTTGTTTACAGAGAATATTTCAGTATTCAAATGTCCTGCTAATCCTCTAAAGCCGTCGTGTAACAACTGAAGAGAGCAAAATTCAGTCCCAGAGAATTCAAGTCCCTTCCTTACACTGTCCAGTTCTGGGTTTGTCCCTGAAAACATCACAGACCGTTCACACTGAAGCTCTTGTAAAGCTACAGTTGTTGCCTTGCTCTTTTGGCTTCCAGTCTCCAGCTCCTTCCCCTTGTTGCTCAGATCATGCAGCTTTCAAACAGGCAGAAGCTCTGGGGGATACTCGCCGTAGCAGTACTTTGCAATAGGATCTCTATAGGTGTTTTCATGCTGCACGCTCTGTGGGGAAGAGGAGAAGCCTTAACAACACATGTTAAAACAATACATCCCTACGCCACGAGAGGCAAAGCCCTAAGTGTTCATATGTATGTAAAAGATTCCCAAGCACTTCTACACATTACAACGCCATCTCGGCTCAAACAACACTGCACCCCCAACATACAATAAGAGTCAGTCAGTGTATTACAGCACCGCAATGTTGAACTGTAAGTAGGATCAGACTGAGCATCACAGAAGTTCAGATATGCTTAGGCAATGCTGTCAAATGCTGTAGGGAAGCAAGGTATGAAGTTGCTGCTCCGGATGCATGTGCTTTTAGCAGGAAAAGCTAGAGCTCGGATACTACACATAAGCAAAGCTCTGGAGACACAGATAGGGAACTGTGCCTCTTGTTTACAGTCCATCTCTAGTACTATATTAACTACTTATCCCATCTCCACCAGCATTTTCTAAGAGGTCTAATGTTTGCTTTTGGCCAAAAATTCTAATAAAACTACTGTAATTTTACTGGGCAACAGAATTTCACCTCTGTTTTTAAAAGCAATAAATAAGTAAAAGACATTACCACATACTTTTTGCTTGAGTGGCTATAGAGACAAAAATCAACACATGGGAAAAATCTAAAACATACCCCAAGATAAATAGCATCTCTGAATCTACCAGGAACAAGTTACACTGCAGAAGATCTCGTAAAGATGAGAACAAAATTCTTATGAGATCTTCAGCCATTAAACTCAGCTGGCCTCCTTCTAGCTTAGCACGTCTTTTCTAAAAAGGATACATAGTTCACCCTGCTCTAAATACACACAATGCTCTTTATTTAATTTTGGTGTTATTATTTCACATTGTTTAACCAAAGGGCTGCTCTCAGATGAGCTCTCAGCCACAGCCTCAGTCCATATACATATAAGCCCATGTGCATACCCACAAAACAGCCACTCGTAGGACCAAGCCCCACTCTTCAAGGGCATCCTTTGGATATTGTCTTTTTTGAGCCCTTCGGTTCACACTGGGCATACACTTGTGCCTCACCTGTGATGAAGTTCTACATTTTGCCAGACACAACTCAAAGCGATCTTCCACTGCCATGAAGAGGTTCTGGAAAGCTATAGCTGCCCGGTTCAAGAAACGTTCCAGGAGATGTTGCTAAAACAGTTAAAATAAATTACTTTAACAAGGAATAATTAAAATCCACATGAACTTACACCAACCAAATTTCAGAGGAATAGCAAACAGTTCCATTGAGCATTTCCAGAAAGCAGTAAAAGGTTAATACACCAAAGGTTAATATTCTGGTTGGAATAACTATTTTATCATCACTTTCTTTCTGTAAATGCAAAGCTTTTTAAGTTGCAATACTTCACATGGCTACCAATACTTACTCTCGAGGGTGGGAAGGATGGCTTAAAAAATTCTTTTTATTATTATTGTATTTATAGCTTGTCACACAGTCCTAGCAGGCTTTCCTCACCCACAAAAAGGAACTGTCCCCTCTCTAAGGAAAAGGGTCCTCACAATAAGCACTTTTAGCCACCAGGAGACCAGAGTAGTCTCAGAACACCCAAGCAGGGCGATTCCACGCACCTTGCTGGGCTGCAGGCAGCAGGAGACGCAGTGCTCGTACACGCTGCAGCAGCCGTTCGGGAGGCAGCTCTCGCAGTTGTGCAGCTTCGTACTGGGCACGTTCACATTACAGCAGCCATTGACCAGCAGGTCCTTCCGCTCACAGATGTAGCCTGAAAATCAAAAACAGCAGTTACAACTGGAAGAGTCATTCCACCAGTCCTCAATGGGAACAGGAGAAGAAATGCTATAGTAAGAAACGCATTTTTGGAATGGGTTTATTTACCGTTTAGTAGAATGTGATCCTCAATATGACTGAATTCTTTGAAATGGCATTCAAAAAAAAGGGCCAGGTTTTACAACAGCCTGACACTGCCTGCACAGCTGCAACACAGTATACACACTATCACCTCAGAATGCAAAGTATGTAAGTTTTGGTATCTTTTTGGCAGGTTGTTGTTGGGACTGGAAGGGGAAACTGTTCTTTCAGCTAGGCTATGTCTGGATAGGTGTCAGTATCAGTTTCTGTCAGTACCTTAGTAACCGCCAATGTGAAGAGGAGACCACACAGGGTAGCTGCAGCATCCCAAGGACAGGTGTAAGGATTCAGAGGAATCCTTAACAGAGTAGAACCACAGTTAAAATACCTAAGGAGACTGCACTAGCACAGTATCACAGTAGGAAGGGTATCAATCACTTTAGAGAATTTGGTGAAGCAGTGACTTCAGAAAGCCACAGCTTCAGTTAGCATAAACATTAGATTAAACACTACCCGCATTAAGTCACAGGGGACGGGGCAACATTTTGTTGCGGCCTCTGATGTTTGCTCAAGAGAGGGCCAGTACTTGAACATCACAAAGCCCACACGTGCACAGGGATGCACATGTGCACAGGAGAAAGACTCCATGCACTTAAAAACACACGTTTAAGGTGTAAGGAGCGGTGGCCACTTGGATGGATGGGGCAAGGAAGCCCTCAGTAGCATGGTGTGCCCAAGAAAGCCTCACCCAGCTCATCCGTGATGAGGAGCTTCCCCTGGACCGAATTCCTGCACTGGTTGCTGAGCTGGCTGCTGTTGCCCAGGCTGAACTGCACCTTCCACACGATGGGCTGCTCGTGCTCCTGCACCTGCAGGAGGTTGCGGTCCCGCACCGTCCTCTCCTCCTGCAAGGACGGGCAGTAATGGCACCAGCCGCGCACACTCATCCTCGCAGCCAAACACGCGCGGCTGCCCCCAGTCACGGCACAGGAAACTCAAAAAGTAACACCGGTGCAGCAAGCAAAGCAGCATAATGCAGTAAAACCAGGGGTAGGCGAGTTCCCCACGGGACCAGCTCACGCAGCAGTGACGCCGGGCCTGTTCTCCTCCCCGTTGCTAACGCTCTGCTGGTTGAGGTACCCTTCCCAAGAGGTATCACAAAGGAGTTACTGGGTTCCTCAGCAATATCCCCCCCAAAGCTCCAGAATGTAGCATCAAGACAAGGGTAGCAAGCAAAAGGCCGCTGTTTTTATTTAAGAAGCGCAGAGGAGGGTTTTAAGGAGAGGCCTCCACGAGGCTCAGCCACAGCCAGTGCCTGCACGGGGGGCTCGTGCCC